TACAACTATGAGCACTATCACAAAAAAATTTTTTTGTAATAATGTTCAATTTTCTAATCAAAAGAATCCTAAAAATAAGGAAATAATAATGGAAGCAAGGTTCTTTTCGTTTTTACATATTTTACAAGAAAATCGTCTCCCGGGAACAGGGGAGCATGAGTGTGTAGGAGGTCGTGTCGTTTCCCCGAGTTTGACCGAATTTACGAAACCGAGGAATGTGGAGAACGCGAACGTCTATTCGGGAAAGTTCAATAAACTTTCGTGAGGGCGTTCCTCAGCGTAATGTTATTTTACTATACATAATTATTTTAGCTTTGTTATTTAATTAGACTTTTCAATTAATTTTCGTATTTTGTCAACTTAAGATGGGCATTGCACCATCTCATTTTAACTTTGACAAGTCAAAAATCTGTTAAACTCCGTACAAAAAACACCGGCTGTCGTTAAAGTTAGGTGGTGTAACTCAGCCTAAATGCTGTTTTCATCAAAGGTTAAAGTTTTACTTTCAAGTCCTTCATCGGTTATGTAATCAATTTATTTTATGATCTGACGACTACGACTACGAGTACGTAGATAATATTTTTCGTAGTGGTGTAATAATAAATTAAACGATAAACTATCGTTCAGCCTAACAGAATTCATTATTGATTATAACATTAAACACCTTATTATAAATTTTCAGGCATGGCGTCATCATAGAAATAACATGCCAAGCGCCCGTAATTTGTTTTAGTTTCTGTACCCTGCCGAAACAGGGTTTTTCAAAAATAGAGTCAGACTCATTTGAGTGTTCCCCTCCACGGAAATCTTTAGTAAAAGGCGAAAGATTTATACGTATTGAAGGGAAACCAGAGTAACGAAATTGGCGGTCGCCGGACTACTTAAGTTCTGGAAAAAATCAAATGATAGCGCGAGTCAACTCAGCACAGCTCCATCTAGCGGCGCTGATGAGAATTACAACTCTGTCTGTTATCTGCTTGTATTGAATGAATCTCGCAGTCGTAGAACCCGTTTGGCACTAACTTGCTGTTGATATTCTTGCATTATCACCATTTATTGCTTATAAATCTATATATATAAAAGAAAGTCGTGTTAGTTACTCCACTTATAACTCAAGAACGGCTGAACCGATTTAGCTGAAAATTGTCAGGGAGGTAGTTTAGAGCCAGGAGAAGGACATAGGATACTTTTTATCCCGTTCCCTTTTTTCTGTCCCGCTTATTTATTGCCATTAAGGAGGAACAAAGTTCGCCGGGTCAGCTAGTTGGATATAAATACAATATTGTACATAGATAATAATTTTTAATAAAAACAATTTGAAATAAAATTATTAATTATAGTCGATCGTGAAATAAATAAATACCTCACTAGCTTACAAAAAGAATATTTTAAAATGAAAAAAAAAACCGCATAAACCTCATTTATTTATGCACGTAGGCTTCTAAAAAGCACTTTTACAGGTCCCAGTTTAACCCTACCACTGCTTTAGAACAATAAATGGGCCAGTGCTGAGAAGAAGCAGCGCAAGAAACTCAGTCACTATTGTCAGCCTCTTTTTCAATTTATTTGTTATTTCCTCTTAAATTAATTGCTATGAATGTAGGAAATACATAGGTGGTAGGCTGGATATAGCCATTATGTATGATGGAATTGAAAAATTATTTTGTATAACCGCTATACAAAATATTTTTTCAAATCCGTTATAATGGCATAGTTTTTTAATTTTACAATATTTAGTAAGGCAGAAATAAAAAAAAAATAGGTATTATCCATTTATAAAATCTTTTAGAATACGAATACATGACTTTTTGTCACTGACGTAGCTTTTGTACAAAACGCCAACCTAACTGCTCATGTTAACCGATTTGTTTTGACACACATCGCATCAGGACACACACATGCTTCCATACAAATTGTAATCGCATGTATTATTCGCCATCTGTTCCACAAGTAGGACAAGCGTATTCTCTCACCCCATGTAGACAGAAGGGGTTGCACGTACTCACACAGAGAACCACCCCACGAGTGCCACGACCCCTGCTCCACTCACACATACGGCACATGTGCGGTCGACCTCCTCGGTGACTCTGCTCGCCTGGTACATATGTGACTCCGACGACTCACATGACTCCACTGATATGACACATACGAGCGTTTGACATCACCACATGTAGTTTAGTCAACATGTGTGGACGTTTTAATTATTTGTATGTAGGATGTTCTTGATACTACATCCACATGTTTACACATACGTGAGTACGCAATAGGTGAATAGGTGATGATGTTTGCCTACGGATGAGTGCGTTGAATGCGGTGGTGATGGTGTACCGGTTCAAAATTGGACGCGGCAAACAATAAGGAAAACTGAATCTAGTCAGGTGGTTAATGATTTACCTCATTAAGCTCACATTGAAATTTTATGAGATATCTTAAAGAAAACGAATTGTTGAAATTCACATTAAGTACAGTCATGATATTTTTATCGAAAGCACTTTTATTAGTTGTAATTTCTTTATCCACCAACCGGTATTTTAAATTATCGTCAATGAAATACGCGCTCCATACGAGGCTCGGATAGTCAACGAAATGGTGACATTGTTCACACCTCTATGCCACGCCACACATGGTTCACTCATCGCATGCACACTTGCTATAGTGCTTGCTATGTGCTACGATAAGGGCCGATGTGTGCGAGCGATTAGAAAGCAAAAAGTATCGGCTGTCTGCAGCCGCGCCAGCCACGCCCCGTAAACATGGCGTTCATGTGTGCTAATCGCTAGTGATGAGCCTGAAAATTTTGGGAGATTAGGGAATTATACCGATATACCGGTAATACCGGTTTGTAGTTGCTTTTGCGCTTAACAACAGACACATTACAGCCTTGCTGCATTTAAATATGTCAGAGAATAACGCATTGGATTAATATTTTCTGGAAATTAAAAAAGCTTTCCTCTCTGTTCAAACTTTTTGTAAAAATCCGGATTTTATTTGTTGGGAATGGAAAATTTTGTAGTAAGCAGTTTTGTTTATCAGGAGAACCGAATATTGTTTCAACTGTTTTCAATAGAAAGTTTCCACCCCAAGTTACACGTTGATTTTATGAATATTAACCATGGACAAATATTCCAGTAATACATTTGACGTTAGACAAAATCGTCCCATCTTGTTATTGGGTCATCTAAACGGGTATTGAAAATTACCGATTTGATGGGGACATCACTACGTGTGTGTGCCCCATGTGTGAGTCTACTAGCTGCCGTTTATGCGCTCCTGGTACTTAGGAGCGCCCGGGACATCACATGACGGCATCCATTTCATGACATGAATGTCAGCAATGTCAGCTAAAGGTCGAAAGAAAAAACTCATCGCTAAAGGCTGAATTTGTTTTTTTTTTAATTAAAAAGCTTAAAATTAAAAAATCTTGGGCTAGTTACCTCCCCCAGTAGTCTATTGCTTTATTCTTTTGCACATTCATAAATAAGTGGTTACCACTGAAAACCTTATTAAACATGACAAGAGTTTGATTTACCCTACGCTACGAATGCTACGATTTCAAACTTGAATTACGAGGAGCATCATTGATTTGTAAAAGTTAAGTTACTATATTGTTTTAATATAATATAACTAGTTAAAAGAGAAAATAAGGTTTTCTATTTTATTTTGTTTGGTTAAAAACGCCTATCATAATATTTAGGCAAGCATCTACAAACGAGCATTTTAAGTATTGATTCGAACAAGGCGTTACCAAAAGTTTGTAAATCCCTCGACACCCCGCGCGTTATATTGGCATAAAAATTAAAGTAACGGTTCCAATATTAATTAAGAAGAAGAACAAAACACCATTAAATGCCAGATAAGGATTTAAACAGTTTCTCCTAATGAAACTCTTATTACTTGTTGTTGTGGGCTCGTGCTGAAGTATCTACCTCCACCTTCTAATTCCTTAATCCGCCCAAAGCAGCACTGTCTTAGGGCGCCGCCTACATCCCATTGTTTTGGACGCTGGTTACCAGGAACCGATGAACACGTAGGAGGGAATTCTGGACAAAACGCAATTATAGTGACAGCAGTGAGATTTGGCTGATTAGCATTTGTTTCCGGGAGTTTGGGCAGTAGGAAAATGCAAAAGGGATTCGCAGTGATCGTTTCTATTTTTACCATTTCGCTTCCATCGATGACAAGTCTTCATAAATACCTTTAAAACCTTTGGAAAATAATGTGGAAAGAACAAAACTGAATGTCAAAAGCATTATCTGCCAGACAACTAGTTTGATCGTTTTTAAAATTGATAAGTCGCTTTCTTTTTTTTAGATCAATGTTATAAATGTTTCAGAAACTGTCCAAAAATATAAACGCTAGTTACCAATTCATGTTAGCAACACTGCACGCATTACCCTCCGTGGCCAGATTTGGAGTACACCCTCTATAAATAACTTACCCTCCCTTTATACTAACATGTACAGAAATATCACTCCGTGTACATCGCCAGTTTTGTATGAACGAACTGTCCAATACTTATTTATGAAGCAGCAATGTATGGAACAGTATTGGCTTCCTGCCAAAGCAGAACGTAGAATGCTTTCGTTTATCCTTGTATGTATTTATTTATTTATTAATAAGGCACAGCTACAGAGAACAAACTATTAAAAAAAACATCATAACATCATTTTATACTTCTCAACGGGAAGGTGAAGACTAAGTGTCATGTTAGGTACCTACCTAGTTCTTTTTTATTTTAAAATTAATTATTTTTAGCCAAATATTTATGTGAAAATGATGGTGGATCACAAACCACAATCATTAATTTTAAGAAATCTGCGAGCGTGAGGTCTACTAATAAAGTGGCAACTTTACTGAAACTCAAGAGAAACCGTCAATATTTGAATACCGTAAAAGAATAAAAAACATAAAAATAACGACACTGGCTGGCTATTAGTGCAAAATGCAGGACGTCACCATAACAAAAAGAAAAAAACGCTAACATTCCTTGTTTTTTCCAGGTGGCCGCGTTCCCGAACACATACACGTTTTTGAAATACGAACACGAGAAGCAGAGACGCGCCCCCAGCTCGCACACATCCACACTCGTCAAAGATAGGAGGGTGAGAACCTGCGTGTGTAGTGTCTAATGTTGCCCCACACACCTCTGTAGGCCCATGCTCTCCTGGTAGCTTCTAGCTGGGATACACGTGGTCTTCTTTCCGTGACTCATTATCGTTGCTTAGCAACGGACGAATGGGGAAAACAGCCTTGAATTTGGTCATTCCGTTTTTTGTATGAGATGATTATAGTGTTTGCGCTTGTGTGATGTAGTGAACATACGACACAGGAAATTATTATTAGACTAACATTTTTCCCGTGCATCCACTCACGGTTAGCATGTACCTCGTAAACTGTATTAAAAAATAATAAAATAACAGTAAAGAAAGAAATAATTTTAAGACAGGCTTACTGAGGACTGACTCGCAAACAAATTCTAAAACATTTACAAACAACAACATAATTATTTTCGGGCTCTATTTTACATGAAAAAAAAAATCTTAGAAAAGAATCTTTACTTCTTCTATTCAATGTGTAAAATCATAGGTCTAATTTTATTATACTTGTATGCATTTTAATTTGTTGACCAACGGTTCAAGTTATTTATTCTGTGGTTTAACATCTGTCCATTTTACACTACGGCGAAACAAGCGTAGGTCGTTCTGACTCGTTCAATTTCATGTAGCCCTGGTACAATTTCGCGTACATTTGTGGACAACTTTGGCCCGCTTGGGGCGTGCCGCGCGCCGGCTGCCGGTATTGAAGCTCCTATAATGTTATGTTCTCCTGGTAGTTTGGTCGAGAATGGTTTCCATTTTCGTGGAACAACGACACATCTTGCACTCGTCGAACAACTCGCTCTCGTCCCTACCAAATAGGTAGTTATGAAAAGTTTTTAGACCATGTAAAGTACTAAGAATGGAATTTTACTATTTATTCGTACGTAGGTACTCGTATTAATAATAATTAAATAATTTCGTTGTTATTTTATCCATTCATTAATTTTGCATCACAGATCAGATGGGCCGAACAACTTTTCCTCAAGTCTCGCGTGAAGCGGTACCCAACGCCAGACCCGGATGAACCAGTCCACCGGGTCAAGAGGTTGGAACTGGAGAACGGTACGGCTGTCAGAACTAGAAGATCAGAATGTAGCAGGAGGCCACTCTTCAATGATGAGCTATGGAGCCAGGAATGGTATTTGGTGAGTAAGGCTGGGGGTTGTGTTTGTAAAGAATCAATAAAATCTTTACATTTACCACGCCTCAGTTAGTACAATCACAGCTTCGCTACATATCCTCGCTCACCTCATCTTCATGGCACATCTTTGGTGGAAACTCAGCATAAATCTTAATTTTTAGAAACTGAAGACTTTACAAGAATTTCATCTAAACTATGCCCATCCTTCCTTTTCCAACATGAGTTAACATGTCACGAAGTCGATTCGTTGCGGTTTTCTTGATGCCAATATGTATCTACTGTTATTACAGTTCAACCAGACCAACGAGCTAACGTCAGCTATTTCTTTTCAGCTCAACCCAATGGTTAATCAATTGAGAATTCCTTATAGCATTAAGTTCTCCTTACTATTAACCGATTAATTCTGTCTACCCTCAGCAAGATACCCGCACTGACCGCTCCCTGCCCCGACTGGACTTGAACGTGCTACCGGTCTACGCCCTCGGCATCAACGGTGCCGGCGTCCGCGTCTCCGTGCTAGACGACGGCATCGAGCACAACCACACCGACCTCCGCGCTAACTACGTGAGTTTATGATACCCTGGTGGAGGTGGAAGGGACGCTAGTATGTTTTGATATAAAAAATTACCTTGCCAAGAAGTGGGTGAGAAAATGAGTGGTGACGATTACAAGAACATTACATAAAATTAAGAAGATAAACAAAAGGCTATTTGCATCTGCAGCAGAACCCCAGAAAAGGCACGCAAAAAAAGGTCATGGTGATTAATGAGATGCATGCAGCGTAGCTTTGTTGCTAAATATACTCGATTAGCTATTTTTTGTTACTACAAACACATAATAATAATAAGTACTACTGCTACAACCAACTTATTATTATTCTGTGCTACAACTGTTACTCGTAATGGGAACAGCCCTACTTAAATTTTTTCCTCCTTTGAGTCAAAAAAACGCGTTCTACTTCTTGCATAACCAAATAATAAATTGTCATGCATTTTATGTAGCCCTAGTAAATGTTGCGTACATAGATCGACAACTTTGGCCCACCTTTTGGGGGCGTGGCTTGCTCTCCCATTGAAGCTTCAACTGTAAACTCTTTAACTTTATGTTCTCCTGGTTGTTTCGTAGAGAACCTTTTAAATTTTCGTGGAACAACGACACATCTTTCTCGATGCGTTCTCGAATTATTATTATCGAAGCTTCAACGACAAACTCTTTAACTCGGTGTTCTCCTGGTTGTTTGGTAGAGAACGTTTGAAATTTTCGTGGAACAATGACGGATCTTTCTCGATGCAGTCTCGCCAGTCTCGCTCGTATTATTATCAAAGCTTCGCCGATAAACTCCTTGAATTCATGTTCTCCTGGTTGTTTCGTATAGAACGGTTTAAATTTCCGTGCAACAACGGCGCATCTTGCTCGACTGACTCGGTTTAGTAGTGTGGAAGGAGAAAAACATAAATATTATGATACACCAAAATTATAGGAATGAAGTTAATAATTTTATACATAATTTATTTTAATGCTAAATCATGAAAACTAGTTTTTAATTACATATACCTATTCATTTTTAGTATTAGATTTGACCCAAATAAATTTAATAAATAAAACCTAAGATAAAACCGTAAAGAAATGGTTTATTGTTAACGTTTATTTGTTTTGTTGGTTTATTGTAAAAAAAAAGTCAGGCATTATCGCTAATCTCCTAGGATATCACATAATATAGACAAAATTATTATTTAAATGTCTGTGAAGCTCTCGGTACTTGTAATTAATTTGTTTGTGAATATTAGTCGGTTACTTTGGCCTCTTTCGAGTTGTGTACATTTAAGCTCTTTACATTCATGAGATCCTAGTCCCTTCGTAGAATATGGTTTCAATTTTTGTGCTAAAAGACACATCTTGTTTACTACGGGCTAATTTTTCAATCAGCGAATACGTAACTTTTAACTGAAGAATAACTTTGACACATTGATAGTTCAATATGGGAAATATTATATTGCAAAATGACAAGCTTTATTCTTCAGTCAGTTAAATAAAATCTAAGTTAAAAGATATCGACGATTGAAAAATCAGCCCTACGAGAGACATTAATTACAACTGAGAGTAAAATAGAAAAAAGTTTAGATGAACATGTAGTTAGTTTGTGCAAAATAAGTATTTATTGTAATTTTTACAGTTTCGATTAAATGCTTTATTTTTTCTTCATCCATACCTACTCATAATAAATTACTTTTTTTTACAATAAGTAGATATTGCATGAATGAAAACGTCTAGGACCGGCAATGTGAACTAAACGATGTTTCCCATCCCAAGGGAGTAAATTCGAACATTTCGAACAACCTCTGTCGCGCTTATGTCGTGCTGGTACTTTTCGCGGAGAACGATCGATACGTCCGACGGAGGGCGCTACTCTGAAACGAACGAGCTTCGTATTTCGGCCGAAGTTTCGGATGTTTCTTTTGTTTTGGATTGACGGAATCATGCAAAAGTCTTATAAAGTAATAATAAATGCACTTACTGTAACAATGATCGAAAAAAAAAGGGTTTCAGACATAGGATTCAGGGATTTACCACAAAAACATTGAACAGTTAGTTTTCCATAATGTTCCATATTTTTGTGGTAAGGTCCAAACTTGATTTTAAACCCCCTTTAAACTTGAGTCTTACAAATTGCTTTAATACCAAAATAGATCCTTCGATCAGTTTAATTACTTTAATAATTGTGATGTCATTAAACCAGTTCGCGCGATTTTCCTGTTCGAACTCCGCCCGGAATGAGCCGTAAAGCTCTTCAAACTTATGATGTCCTGGTACATTTGGTGGTATTTTGTGTTAAAAGGATCCAACTGTGCGGATAACACGCAAAGCGTGTTTTGTGGAGGCAGGCGGCCGCGACCGGGAAGCGAGATTTGTTTTGTGAATAAAAACTATAATAATTTTGATTTGTGGTGCGTTCCTTTTTAAGATTTAGTTTTATGGGTTCAAAATCTTGTAAAAATGACCGGATTTATAACATTAGTGATTATATTGTTTTTTGAACGACTTCCTCGTAGTGCTACTAGGTAATCTGTGGTACAGCAGCTGCTGCTGGTCTAAATTCCATAAAAATCACACTAAAATCATGTTGACGATACTACGCATCAAGCTTATCACTGAAGTTATNAAGGTTATTTTCTATGAGATCTGATGTGCTTGACTCACTTTTGAAATGGAAAGTTTGGCTTATGCATCTCGTCGCCTGCGGCTTTACGCTGCTCAATTCCACATTTGTACCATTTTGCCTTCTGCCTTGTCATAGGTTACCTTTACCGTAACAAATTAGTATTTAGACTCATTAATCACACAGAACCATAGCTAAGGAATCGAATAAAGAATGTCATATTATTAATTTTATTGTGTAGCTGCGTATAATCACAGACAATAATATAATACGTATGATGATAATGACGTCATGCTACATAAATTGGTTCGGATGAACGAAGTAGCTTCTTGAAAACTTCTTATATCCTGGTATTTTTCGCGATATTTTGTGCCAAAACGACTCAAGACTCAACTGTGCGCCAGAGAATCAAACACACGACGACTTGACTGAATTAATCCAATCTTATGTGAATAACAAAATATTAGGTAAATAAATAATAAAAATGCTAACAAAAGTATTAAAAAATATATTTTATTATTCAATTTAATGCTCCATAAATATGCTTATTTATAATTTCTGCACAAAATAATAAACAATACAAGTTATTATGATGTTATGATATTTTTTCTAAAACCATAATAATAATTATATTAATGTGATTTATGGTTTTAGAAAATATATTATTTATTTTAGACCTCATGGGAGAAACCACATCATTAACAATACAAAAAAGTTTATGAAATGTGACCGACCTTCGTGATGCATGTGTGCGTTTGTTATTCATGTTGTGATTCGTCATTCACCGTCACGAATACAGAGTACACACGCGGGGAGTATTGAAGCTCTTTGGAACTCATGCCGTCCTGGTAGTTTTCGTGGTATTTTGTATTAAAACGTTCCAACTGCGCGGACAACACGCAAAGCGTGTGTGGTGGAGTGACAGAAGTGGTACTGTGGTAGAGGTGGTATGCACTATCCAAGGAAGTTGGAATGCTCGTACAAGTACAAGCAAGAGCCAGCAGAGAGGATTGAAAGATCGTTCGTGGGTTTTTATTTCGTCATATTTTTTGCAAGCGGTTTAAAAAACACCACCTACCAATGGTAAATTCATCCGAGTAGTGATGTCGCCTCCATTAATCTCCTTCAAACCCATGCGATCCTGGTATTTCTCGTGTTATTTTGTGCTAAAATGACTCGCCAGTGCTGACAACACGCTAGGCGTGTTTTTGCAATCGGCTCTCTCGTTCCAGACTTGTGGCCTCTTGGGTGGTATGCTATTTTTATTGAGCTGACTGAATTCGCAATAAATTAGTTATTGAATATTCATTTGTTCGATGAAATACATTTTTTTACAGATAAAAAAAAAAGAATTTAGTCGATATTTTTATCACGTCATTACTACGTACGTATACTTACGCTAAAGTATACTTATAACAATATTATAACTTATCTGCGCAATTTGTCGAAATACGTCTTGTATAAGTAGTAAGTACCTACCTACTCTGCTGTGTGCAGCATAATGAATGAGACTGGTTTTACTGGATTACTTACAGATTTACCGCTGTTGCCGCTGTTAATCTACTTCTGTATGCTTATGTTATCCTGGTAGAGACCTGTGAAGGATAACTGAAATCTTTGTCACTGAGTTCCATTACGTTACCACGGACGTTACGCTAACATGTTACTTTTTATCGACTGGTAAATCTTAATTTTTTTTTTCCTTCGCAGAATGACTGAACTTTTGACAATCTTTAGTTGACCTGATTAATAAGATGCAAGATCGATAGTTAAATAATTTATTTCATTGTACTTGTAATGTCCGTGGTGAAAAGTGTTTTTATCTTGGTCTAGTAATAGGTATTTGTAACAACACTATTATAGCAACGCTTCTAAGCCTTTCTAAGCTGAATGTATTGGCAAAACTGGCTGCATTGTACAACTAACAGACAGACCTGACTCCTTACGTTCATATAACCCTAGTACTTTCGCGGAGCATGGTTGAAATTTTCGTGGTAAAACGACTCATCTGCACGTTGTTGTTGAATTTTATTATTATTTTGAATTTGTGTGGATACATGGGGCATGGGTGGGTGAGGTTTATCTTAATACTTGATTTTTGGCAAGCCCCAAGCAGCAAGATAACGGTAATTAATAAAAATATTTATTAAAATCAGATGTGCCATAAAAAAATACAAAATTAAGTTAGTTCGTGTGGGCAGTAAACAAATCTGTTGGTCGGTAAGAAATCTCATTCTAAGCAGTTCTACAATTATTAATGAGGTGGTAAAAAAAATTTAATAAAATATAAAATAAATTATTTTACTAAAAAAAATATTTAAAAGTATTTTTTTTAATAAAAAAGTTATGTTTAAGGAAATTACTGGCATAATTGTACGAGTATTTATTTTAATTTCCAAAACCACTACGTGCCACACTACACAAATCACTCGCTGCTTCAAAATCGTAGCCTCACTGCACTGAGGATTCCGAGATATGCCGAGCTCGAAAATTTCAACCATTCTCCACGAGAGTACTGGGAGTGCACGAGTTTTGAGGAGTGATTTAAACATCGCAATCATCTTATCATATTTTTAACTTCCACACAGCCACAGTTACCTTAAAGCCAATACACACAATCATGCCAAATAGGTAATTTACTGTAATGTTAATTTCTCATTTATAGGATCCAGAAATAAGTTGGGATTGCAACGATAACGACTCTGATCCGTTGCCTAGGTATGAAAAACTGAACAGGAATTCTCATGGTACCAGGTGCGCTGGCGAGGTAATCAATATTTATTTTTATTAACTGATGGAATTTTTAAAAATCTTTTCTCGTTTTGCCTCGATAAAAGTTGTACAATTTTACAGATAGCGATGACCGCGAATAACAGGAAATGTGGGGTGGGTGTGGCCTGGGGCGCTCGAGTGGGTGGAGTTCGGATGCTCGATGGCCGAATAACCGACAGAGTGGAGGGCGAAGCGATCGGTAAGGGCTCCTTGCAACCTCTACACGCCTGGTACATTTGATCGCCATGTTGAGTTCAAAATGTCGTTGAATAGAATGACAATTTCTTCTTCAACTGGCCATTGGGTCACATCAGCTCATCGGTGACTTTTTGCACGAAATCTTTTATTTTCAAAATTACACAGGCATCAGACTTTCGTTGTGTTCAGTACGGTCAGAGGTACGGTTCACTAGAATTTCTCAAAAAGCGTGAAAATATATGGCATTTCAAGTCGCAGAGTGCTAGAATCAATGTCTTCCAAGTGCTGACATCATCATCATCATCATCTCAGCCATAGGACGTTCACTGCTGAACATAGGCCTCCACCAATGCTTTCCATGTTACCCGGTGCTGACATACGTGGTGTTTAAGATTTACCGTCTGCAATCAATGAGATGAGATACGAAAAACATCCAGGAAGTCTATTTGTTTCTTCAAAAGAAATAAAATTATTCCAATACAACAATAAAGAAGACAAATCACTGTAAAAATGTTCCTGACCATTGGCCATGACCATGGTCAAACTTGCCGAAACCTCAATGCCCGTGTTAATGCCGTTGATTCGATTTGCCCTCCCTACGCATCAAGTACAATGACCATGCTATGCTCAGCATCTTTGCGTTTATGGTGCCCTGGTACTCTCGCAGAAATGTGACGTAACAGCTAACCGAACGCGATTCGACAAAAACCGGCCTTGTTCCATTATGCATGAAGCGCCATACAACAACAAAACTGTCTATCATGAGAATATGGAATGTCTGTATTTTTGGGCTTGTAAGGGCTGATTTTGCTATCGTCAGATAACTTTTGACCTAAGAATAAGTTTGACATATTGACAGTTTCAGTATGGGAAATATGTCAAAACGACAAGTTTATTCTTCAAATAAAAGTTACCTGACGATTGAAAAATCAGCCCTAAATGTTCTTTTTCCCTATCAGTTAAATTACATTAACTAAATTTTGTATACTATTTTAATTTTGTATTTTTCTAACCTTGTGATGTTTTGTTATTGTTTAATCTCATCGGTTGCTAGGTTACGCGTGGGACAAAGTGGACATCTACAGCGCTTCATGGGGCCCTAGTGACGACGGTCGCACGGTCGAGGGACCCGGCCGCCTAGCCAACGAGGCGTTTGAACGAGGCGTCACCAAGGTAATCGCCACCCCGTCTTGTTTGGATGCACATTGCTGACCACCAACTGCAGTTTCTGGTATCCTGGTAGAGATAGTTACACTGTTGAGGAGGGACACGCTCGCTAAAACCTTACTCAAATGAGAATAAGTTTGAGATTACTTGAACGTGATTCATTTCGTAACACAGATGATCCGTATACTAGTCATTGTAATCCTACTTGTATTAATTAGCTACATTTTCTTCAGGGTCGTGGTGGTAAAGGCATAATTTACGTGTGGGCCAACGGTAACGGTGGCGGTAATAAAGACAACTGCAACTGTGATGGGTGAGTCCTTTTAAACATCATTACTGACTGACTGACTGACATAGTGATCTATCAAAGCACTGCCCGAACCACTGGACGGATCGGGCTGAAATTTGGCATGCAGGTAGATGTTATGACGTAGGCATCCGCTAAGAAAGGATTTTACTATGATAATATTACCGTGATTTTACGAAGCGCGGGCGGCCGCTTGTCCATTACAAATTCTTGTCCTTCTCACCCAGAAAGTGCTGCATGCAAGTATGAAATAATTTTCCGCTACAATAATTTTGTTTTTGTATCTGGCAGATATTCGTCCAGCATCTACACGGTTTCCATCGGGAGCGCTTCCCAGCACGGGCTGTTCCCTTGGTACGGAGAGATCTGCCCCTCAACCCTCGCCACTGCCTACTCCTCAGGCGCTTATAAGGACCAGAAAATTGTAAGGATTGTTTTTTTTACTTTCCAACATACAGTAGTAGATTTTAGAAAGTAATTAACGTCTAAAAACTGAAGTTCATGATAAACAACAATAATTTGTGATCTTAGACAATCGACAAAGTTGATGATTAAATTACATTTTGCTTGATATTTCACAAACTTATTTTATTCGTCCATGAGATCCAAGCAAGTACAGAATAAATACCTACTATGAAGTAAGCTCGCGAGCGTGAGTAGGAGGTATCCAATGCGTCGTTCTGTGCTTCTGGTACTTCACACAAGCACAAAAATTGAAAACGGAACATACACACACTAGAAAATCTTAGAAGGTGACAGCAACATATTTCTGTCTCAGAATAATTTAGAGTAGGAGGAGTCCAATGCGACGTTCTGTGCTTCTGGTACTTCACACAAGCGCATCTGTTTGAACGCACACACTGGAAAGTATGTTAGAGGGTGATGGCATTATGTTTCTGTCTCAGGCTACCACAGACACGGGGGACTCGTGCACACTAGGGCACACAGGCACGTCGGCGGCCGCCCCCCTCGCAGCCGGTATCATCGCCCTCGCGCTACACGCGAAGTAAGCTCCTCCGTTTTCTGCACGCCTAGTACTTTGTTCGGTACGCTCTGTTTGTCTCAGAGGTGCGATTGTGTAAAGCAATCGTATTCATTTATGCTGGATTTCTATATTCAATCCTAATCTAAATTATACGGATTTGGATTGTCAACTGTCAAATTTTAATATGTTTTTGGCCAAAATAACTGCGGTTTTTGATGTTTTTACATTTTTATATTGTTTAAACAATATTAAAGTGTAAATGCATCGAAAATTTTGGAAATATAATCTAAAACTGAATTCAATTTGACAGTTGTAATCCGGATTTGGACAAGGATTGAATATGGGAATCGGGCGTTACAGTTCAAAACGTACGATTAGAACTGTCAAATGAATACGATATAAGATGACCCACGCTGAACTGTCCCACCAAACTCAATGACAGGGGGGCGCTACCATCGTTCAACTATATGGTTTCCAACATGATAAAAATCGGAACCAGCGATCCGGTATTGACGGTGGCGCCCCACTGTCAATGTCATGCATAGGACAGTTCAGTATTTTGGAACTATACGATACCTCTGGCGCTGGCATGGTGGTGGTGGCGCTTGTTTGCTTTTTGTTTTTAGATGTAACTTTTTTTCTGTTTTCCTTCCTTTGGCTTAGAGATTTATTTTTAATTGAAGTAGCCTTTTTAATAAAAAATAATTGCACTATGTGTTGGTAAGCCAGATATTATTGAAAATTGTATAGGTACTCGACATTAGAATAGTTTCCGTAGGACAGTTACTGCACTTCATGGTTATGCTAGTAAAAATTAATAGAGCACTTACGATATTTCAGTCCAAATCTAACATGGAGAGATGTTCAACATCTAATAGTGTGGACATCAGAGTATGCCCCGTTGTCTGCAAACCCAGGATGGCAAGAAAATGGGTAGGTGAATTACTACATTTTCTCGGTGTAATCTTTTCTAAAAAGATGAATAAAAACTTTTTAATTAATTTTTTTTTTAATGAACGGTAATTTTCAGGGTCGGCCTTCGATTTGATGTCCGATTCGGCTTCGGTTTAATGAATGCTGCGGCCCTTGTGTTGACAGCACTGAACTGGACGACTGTTCCAGAGAAATCCGTGTGCCGGATCGAAGCTTCTCCGTAAGTATGCGCCCCTGGTGACTCGAACGTCTGTCATCTATGTAACGTGATAGAAAAAGGTCAAACAAAAAAACAAAAACGTTTGCGTCGTGTGGTTGCTATTAGAAACGCAGGTACCAATTCTTAATAGCTCGTGTGCTCCTAGTATTTTACTCCGTTCTGCCTGGTATGCTGGACGCGAGGCATTCTATTAACCACACCAGTCACCACCATCATAGTTGTCAGATTATTCTCTTGAGTTCCTGCTAGCCTAGGATGCGTGCCATTATATTCGTTTTATCGTGGCATTTTATCGATTTCACACGATAAGCGACGATAAGATTTTAATCTTGGTTCATAGGCCAGCTGTCCAAAAATCTAACAACACCAATCCCAAGTTCCGACTAATTTGGATGTTATTTACTCGCGTTTTAATCTAGTGTCTAGAAAAACATGTTAAATACTAAACTTAACGTTTTTAGTTTTTTCTAGTAGTAAGTAACGTAATAAATATCATTTATTTATTTACTGAGGAGTGAGGACCGACAGTTTTACTCAAAACGTATCAAATTACATACCTACTTCCTCGTCCTTATAATAATATTACTGTTGTTATTACTCGCACTACTGGTATCATCTAGTACAAATAATAAATTACTATGTAGTCAATTAAGGATTATGCAAAGAAGTTTATTTTACATACATTGTTGTTGACTGTTGTACGAAATTATATCCAAGAGTTTATGGTTGCCTAGTAATTGTACGTTCAGTTTCGACCGAAACATCGGAGTGGATCACGGTCACGGTCATTATTGATTTGCCAGTATAGATGTTTAAAATACTGTTTTGTTTCTACTACAGAATTAAGAATTCAATATACGTATTTCTTTTAGGTTGCAACAAGGCGAGGGCCGTATAAGTTCAGGGGAAATTGTAGAGATACCAATAAATATCAACAGTTGTGAAGTAAATTACATCGAGCACGTCGAGTTGATAGTAAACGTTCGCTACAATCGACGAGGGGCGTTACAGATTTACATCACTTCGCCTCAAGGTAACCTCTCGCTTGATATGTTATCCTAGTACTTTTGCTAAGTTGGTTACGTCTGGAAGACGGCTTTTAGCCGAAAAAAATATTGTTATCGGCTACTACGGCCGACCGCCACAGACGCACTGACTGACAGACACAGACATTTCAACTTTTTCATTTGTTACTACACTTGCGAGCAAAAGTATGGAATCACTTACATGAAGTTGTTTCCACGCGATCTTGTGTACTAACCAATTTGATAGTAACAAAAAAAGTAGCACCATTTTAAAGATTAAACTTTTAACTTTAAATTGATATCAAATTCATTTAAATCACATCAGTATTTAAAAAGATATCCCGCCTAATATGAATAAGTAAGGAAAAAGACATGTATCAACTGTTTGATACGTCGCGAGTTGCGGCCTATTTACCCCCCATAAAAGCAAGTGTTTTCAGATTTTTGCTTTCACACGTTGATCCATACACATCTCCGCTTCTTTTGACACTTTACCTGGGATTCTACACCTTCAGAAGCAGCACAAATCGTTGCACTATTGCAAGAAGGGCTCAGCCAGCGGGCTGTCGCACATCAGCTCCACATAAGCCAGTCCTGGGTTTCGAAAGTTTTAAGACGCTTTCAGGAGACTGGTGGCTTTATCCCGAGACCAAGTTCTAAACATTGTCGGTTCACATCGCAGAGGGNAATTCATAAACAAAACTTTATGTAAACAAAGCAATAAACTTAGGACGCGCTGACAGCAACCGTCCTTAGGCTTGCAAGCAATAACTTCTGACTCGTAAAAGAACCAATTTGTTAAGAAACATGTTGGTACTTTAATATTTTCTAAAACTAGAGGTTTTTAATTACCTATCTGCGTAAATAAAAAAAGATTAATAGACAACTGATTTTTTTGACTTTTGACCTCTGCCGGGCCCACAGTGCTGTGGCCCAAACGTGTGAAGCCAAGTTTATAAAAAGGACATCATTCTTTTTGGGCCTTTTCTAAAAGTGCCGGCCAACAAAAAATTATGGTACGTATTGTTAGAACTAGCTATTTGGAGCAATAGCACTGGGGAACAGTCATTTTGCGGCATGGTAGTTTAGAGTCAATCCTGTATGCGACTAGTGTGCTGAATACTAGAAAAATATTAGATTTGTCAAATTGACTCTAGATCTTGAGATAAATACTATTATTTCATAGAGAGGTTGACATGAAAAAACGGTCATCGTTCTGCGATGTGCACCGGCGCTGTTCAGAACTTGGTCTCGGGATAAAGCCACCAGTCTCCCAAAAGCGTCTTAAAACTTTCGAAACCCAGGACTGGCTTATGTGGAGCTGACGTGCGACAGCCCGCTGGATGAGCCCTTCTTGCAACAGTGCAACGATTTGTGTTGCTTCTGTAGGTGTAGAATCCCAGGTAAAGTGTCATAAGTAGCCGAGATGTGTATGGATCAACGTGTGAACGCAAAAATCCGAAAACACGTGCTTTTATAGGGGGTAAATAGGCCGCAACTCGCGACGTATCAAACAGTTGGTACATGTCTTTTTTCTTACTTCTTCACATCAGCCGGGATATCTTTTTAAATACCGGTGTGATTTAAATGAATTTGGTATCAATTTAAAGTTAAAAGTTTAATCTTTAAAATGGTGCTACTTTTTTGTTACTAACAAATTCGTTAGTACACAAGATCGCGTGGAAACAACTTCATGTAAGTGATTCCATACTTTTGCTCGCGAGTGTATATTTTTGGTAACACAATACATAGGTTTACAGTAAACGCCTCACGCGCTTGTGTGGCATTAACGGTTATATTACAAAAGTGTTGGTTGTTCTTTTATTCACAGGAACCAGAGTACAGCTTTTGAGCTCGCGAGCTAAAGACACGTCCACCAACGGGTTTGTCAACTGGCCGCTTACTTCGGTCGCTACGTGGGGTGAGAATTCTAATGGTGTATGGAAAGTGCATATCCAAGACGAAACTGATGAACAAAATAGTGGAGAAATAGGACCGATTTGTCTTGTCGTTCATGGAACTCATGATATGCCGGAGCACATGAAATACGGGCCAAGAAAATACTCGCACAGCAACTACCAAGAGGTGTCCGACTACTTCGACGACGTATTTGAAAACTCGAATTCCGATGATAACAACGTGGTCAATGTACCAGAACAGCATAACACCGAGGAAGTGAACATGAACGACATAGATCCCACAATACTAGCAGAGGTTGAACAGGAACTGCAGAGAATCCACCACGGCATGGTGTACAATAGATCTCCAGGATTGTAAATTATGTAACATAATAATGTATTTAGATTTATTTATGTGACATTGTGATCTCTATTTAATAAGTGTGATAAGATTATTAGTGAAATGCTTCTGAAACTTATTTAATTAAAACATATCAGTATTAACTACAGCCAGTCATCATGCCTTGTAAATCCTGTAATCAAAATTATTATCTTGTGTGCAACATTGTGATAAAAATAAAATTCAGCAAAGTTTATTCATAGAACGCCCGTTTCATTTTTAGATGGACATTACATGAGACTCGATTTTGATGACTAAAAACGCCATCAAAAAGTTTTTATTAAATTAATATGGTTTAGTTTAGTCAGCTGCCGCTCCCGAATGGCTGAACTATCATAAGAATGTACTATACTATGCTAACTGACATTGCAGCATAATTATTATACTGAATGAATTACGTAGGCCGCCAGCCGCGCGTACTACGTAATCACTCAGACAAGAAAACATCGAGGTACCTGTGATCTATGTACCCCTGGTAGAAGAGACTCATATTTACGTCATAGTTCGACTGCATGACCGATCAGTCACCCAACACAGCTGTTGACCAATCCTTCCTATAATTTCAGTAGAACCACAGGTAGAACCTCTTCTTCGCTTATGTGTTCCTAGTCCTCTCAGATATATTGCAAATGAAAGTCGGAGCATAATATGATCCACATTGTTTAGTTCCGGAAGCTTGGCAACTAGATGTCGCTGCATTCTTCACAGATCTACAAAATATTCGGTTGATTGTGGATGAATTCTCATTTTATTACAAAATTATTATGTCACAATTATTCTACAATTTATGATTATTATTTTTAAGTAAATTATTATGTATTTTGTTCTTATTACCACAATGACAAAGAAAATTATTTATCTGTGGTTCCAAGCACAGATTATAAAGCACGGATCCAACCAAAACTTGAAGCCATCGCCTTTGCATTCATGGGCGCCTGGTAAAATTGGTTCCGAGTTTCGATTGGCCGCAATGCCCGTAGCGTTTCATCTTCGTGTTTGCCCATGCCATTTGGATGCCCGCATTGTTGCCTAGCGCCATCTACAAACCTTTACTAAACTTTTACTTTAGATGTAAAATGCTTTGAATCGTCAATAGAGGGCAGGTAGAGTTCGTAGTAAACTAAATTGGACTAAAAAATGAAACTGCAAGGTTTATTAATTTACAAAATATATTTATTCAGGTTTTTCAAATAGGTATCATTGTCATTCTTTTAATTACTTATTATTTTAACAATATGTTTCTAGCCAGTAAATTGATCCATCGACCATGAGGAGAGACATTGTTAATATTAATTTACTATCAGTCATCAATGGTACGTACTTCTACATTTTCTTGATTTCTACATAACTTATATTAACTTAAGTATTACAATTAAATTAGCGAGAATATAAATGCTAACATAGTTCTTTTTTGTTAATCTAAGAGATAATCTGAACACCAAGAAATCTACGCCAAATCACAGTCTAGAGCTTTACTCAACGAATGAAAATTCATCATCATCATCATTTCAGCCATAGGACGTCCACTGCTGATCATAGGCCTCCCCCAAAGATTTCCACAATGGCCGATTGGTGGCGGCCTGCATCCATGGAATGAAAATTGTCTGCTTACTATTGCAATAGTGACACTGAGGTACGCTGCATGATTAATTACTAGTCACATACTTAATTGTAAGTCAAACAGCCATCGTCACATCAAAACACATTCGTCAATTCTTTTTATTTCGAGGATTTTGCTTACTTGCAGGTCCCCAAAATAAAGCTAAAGTGGGGTAACATACTATACAACATTAATAGATATAAATAGAATGCAGGAACTCCAACTTCATTAATTAGTCCTAACTACTAACAGTAAAACCTAAATCCCTAAGTTCTTTCACCAGGAAATCATCTTTGTACTTGTCGATCTTTGATATCCATTGTTCCGTAGTGATGACATGCCTGCTGTACCCTCCGTATTCAGGAGGGAGGTACTCAGGGTCGATGTGACTGTGGAGGGAAGCCATGTCCGCGTGGAAGAAGAGATGGTTCCAGACTGCTTTAGGGATGAACTGCTTGAAGAGGTAGAAGAACTTGTTCATGAACCAGCTGTAGTTGATGATGTGGAGGCCGTGCATCGTCAAGGGGAAGGACACCTGGAAATTGTAAGTATTTGATGAGTTCAGTTGAACTTACTCGTAATTCTAAATGACAATGACTTCGACATGTGAAGACTGCTTAAAGTTCAAGTTTGTTTTTATTACTTTTGACTTTAATTTTGACTTTTGAAACATATTAACTGTGGGTCGTTGAGGAAACGTTTCTGCATATTACCATGGACATGGTTTGGGCAAACTCACACCTATTTAATTTTCTTTTTAGGCTTGAAGCTAATCAATTTTATATAGTGCCTATAACAACAATGGTTGCAACTGCCACCATGTGGACGCCTAGACATAATGGCTTACTCTATTAAGAACGATATGACTTAGAGAATCCAAGAAATTGATTTTTTTATGGTACAGAGGCAAACGAGCAGACGGATCACCTGATGGTAAGTGATTACCGTCGCCCACAAACACCCGTAGTCCCAGGGGCGTTACAGGTGCGTTGCCTGCCTAGGTGTAGATACGCTTTCTTCTTGAAAGTTTGTAGATCGTATCGGTCTGTAACTCACCCCCATAAGGCTCACAATCTGGTGAGCGATGGTGGGCGTGAGATGCCTCAAATGCCTCAACCCCAGACCCTCCACATCCACGATGATGGTCACGCCGAGGATCTGCAGCTTCGGCTGCATCACCGCTACCTCGTCCATCAGGAGAGCACAACGGACCACGTCTATGATAGGAACTGCTTCTGGGTCCCATTTCCCTGAGAAAAAAGATAGGTATGAGTTAAGGCAACGCAACGTGGGACGTTCACTCACAAAGTGGACAGATGACCTCATAAACATTGAAGGCGCTGGATGCAAGCCGCTGTCAATCATTGGGAGAGGCCTATGGTCGTTAGTGGAGTGACTAAAGTGATGATGATGATCAGTTAAGGTTATAGGCAATTGATTAGCACTGCATGAACTGAATGATTCGTATCCAAGAATGTTAGTCCGAAGCGAAGTGTTAGTTCTCAGTAAAATTGTGGCTATCTGATAAAATTGTCCCCTAGATGGGGCAGAGGCCGTCCACAACAGTCCTCCATGATCGACACCGTAATGGGAACAAATTATACAAGCATGTACAATTTGATCAAATACAGAGTTTTTAAGAAAGAGTGCAGTTTGCATGGCTTCTAAAAGAGAGCAAAAATTAAAAAATATCTTCATATTTAACTTTATCTTTCAGATAGGTACAATTTTATTCTAGTTACTCTATTTAGTTGGCTGCAAAATAATGACAGACTCATTATAAAAGTCATAAACATACCTAAAAGTAGAGTCAGCCAAAGTCATCAATGACTCGTCAAGTTACATTACAGACGACGCGAAAATTAAGAAACAAGACATTCTTGAGACAGTTAAAATTACAAGTTATCGTAAGTAATTTTTCACTACAGCCACCGTGAAATGATGCAACTCTGCGCTATGTTGTCATTAACGATAGAAGGTAAACGCTCTCTTTTAAGGCCGATTTACACGTATTAAGTAAGTACGTAGTTAAGTAGGTAACTAAATTTTATAGCCTGACCAGGAACATAAAAACCCTCGCCATGTTGCGGAAAACTAATGGTACTAATTTCTTTTAATGGCAACAGTAACTGAAAACTTCATTGATATGTCACCTTGCATGTCAGTCTATTGCTGTCAAAGTGTAAACAAACTTTATTTTAAATGTGCGCAATTGATTTTGTGANTCGTAACGATAAATAAAACAATTGTAATGTATCATTTACACATTATTTGTGTTTAATTTTATTGAAGAACATTCTGATCACATTAATTGTACATTGGGTCGTTAGGGAAACATTTGGGTTTTGGCCCAAGCCTGTAGACCCAGAATTTTTTTTTCCGGGTCTCTTACATTTAGGCCTTCAGCGCCCCGCAAGGGGCGTTATCGCCCACTTTGGGAAAGGGTGGGCTAGAAGTTAATCAGTATAATACAGTGCCCATAGCAACAATGTTAGCCACTGCCACCATGTGGACGCCTAGACATAACCACTGCTTTCTCTACCAGGAGCGAAATGTCGTCGAAATTCCAAGAAATTAATTATTCAACTTACCCCCATAAGACTGACAATCTGATGAGCGATGGTCGGCGTGAGATGCCTCAAATGCCTCAACCCCAGTCCCTCAACATCCACGATGATGGTCACGCCCAGGATCTGCAGCTTCGGCTGCATCACCGCTACCTCGTCCATCAGGAGAGCGCAACGGACCACGTCTATGATAGGAACTGCTTCTGGGTCCCATTTCCCTGATAAAAGATAGGTATGAGTTAAGACAACGCAGCGTGTGATGTCGACTCACAAAGTGGACAGATGACATCATAAAGATTGAAGGCGCTGGATGCAAGCCGCTGCCAACCAATATGTAAATCATTGGGAGAGGCCTATGTTCGTCAGTGGAGTGACTAAGGCCCGCCATACACGGACCGCTGGAAGCAGTCAGGGTCGACAGCTTCAAGCTGTCAACTGCACAGTGAACTGCAGAGTTCTATGGACGCACATACACGAACCGCTCGAGCAGTTGCAGCAACTGATTCGGGCGGTCGACAGCTTGAAGCTGTCGAGCCTGACTGCTTCAAGCGGTCCGTTTATTGCCGGCCTAAAGTGATGATGATGATCAGTTAAGGTTATAGGCAATTGATTCGCACTGCATGAACTGCATCCGACCCGAATCCTAGAATGATTTGTGTTTTTTATCTAATTAAGATTAACGAAAAATCGTTGCTGTCTTGATGGATACAAATTGTGCACGTTTGGAGTAAACACAGCTTTGTTATAGAAAGCACTCTTCCATAACAAAGCTGTATTTGCTGCAAGGAATTTAATTTATATATCTTTTAGGTTATGGATGCATGCCAAGCACTACACTTAGTATGCATGGATCCTTATCCTAAAAGATTTATATGAAACTCTTTAAACATTTATACCTTTTTAATTAACTATATCTTTAAAATTATTCTACTCTACTTTGTAAAGTCGCTAAACGAATGGCAGACCCATTATTAAAAGTCATAAACATCCTCTTCATTAGTCAGTTATTAAAGCATAAACACATTTACCGGTCTAGAGTCAGCCAAAGTCATCAATGACTCGTCAAGTTACATTGCAGACGACGCGAAAATTAAGAAACAAGACATTCTTGAGACAGTTAAAATTACAAGTTATCGTGTAGGTAATTTTTCACTACAGCCACCGTGAAATGATGCAACTCTGCGCTATGTTGTCATTAATGATAGAAGGTAAACGCTCTCTTTTAAGGCCGATTTACATGTATTAAGTAGTTAAGTAGGTAACTAAATTGTAACTTAATTTTAAGTGATTTAATTGCATGTAAACAGTTATTAACTAAATTTTAATTTGCAACTTTCTACTAAATTCTGTGTCTACATGCAATTAATCACTTAAAATTAAGTTAAAAAGTTACTTACTTAACTACTTAGTAGGTACGTGTAAATCAGCCTTTAGAATGGTGCAACGATATTGGGATATTGGCTTGAGACATTCTGTTCTTTAAATAGACTTAAATGTACTTTCTCATACAGTCTATTTTTAGCAGTCTGTTGCTCTTGATCTATAAAATGATTGCTGTCACTAGAGCATATTACGTTCGCGCTCTCTTGATTTCGACTATACGATAATTTTGTGGGACAGTCGGCATCAATAGATCGTGACATCCAAAGAAGCTAAAAAGTTCGCAGCACGCCTCGAACATTGAAATAAGGTTGTGTTGTCTCCTTTTTGGCCATTTTGGATGTCAAGAACTATTTGACGCTGACAGTACTTGTGATGCAAGATGATTTAGACAAAATCTATACTAATACTAGCGGCCGCCTGCGACTTCGTAAGCGTGGATCCCGTTTTACCCCCTTCCCGCTGTTCTGTTGAAAATTTTCCTGAATTTTCTTTGCTATAAACCTCACGGAGCCCGAGACCTTTCCAACGAATGCAAAACCGTGGAAATCGGTTCGTGCGTTCTGGAGTTATAGCGTCAGGGAGGAAAACCGGACTTATTTTTATATAGTAGATTATTAATGCGAAAGTAACTCTGTCTGTCTGTCTGTCTGTGTGTATTTATATGTATAAAATACTAGCTTTCTGCCCGCGGCTACGCCCGCGTGGAATTTTGTCTGTCACAAAAAAACGATCCTATGTCCTTTCCCGGGACCCAAACTATCTCTATCAAAATCGGTTCTCTGGTTTAGGCTCTAAAATGTCGTGATTTTTATTTATTATCATTATCAGATCGCACTTTTTTACGATTGGGTTCAATCAAGGTTATATTGAGAAACTGTTCTAACGATTACCAAACTATTTCTTCCTACTTTAATTTTGTCTTTTCCTTTGGAAGTTGGGTTCAGCCTCTTTAATATACATATTATTATGACACAACGTTTTTGCATACTTCGGTAATTTGCGGTTATTTGACAAGGTGATGTTATGAGATCGCTAATCTGTAGCCGTGTGTTATTATTACCCCAATAAATCATGTTTTTACACAATGTGGTGTGTTTACACAAACATAAGTGTTATTGAATATCTAGACTTAATTTAATCATACGGATTCTTCTGTATAGTCATAGTCTTAGCATGGATTCTACCAGAATCATTTTGCGCACTGCTGACTATACTGACGCGAAATTTTCGCATCAACTTCTTTCGGTTCATACTATCCTGGTAGCTGTAACTCACCAAATCTCATAAGTATGATGCGTCCGTTCCGAGGGCTCTCCGGCAAGGTGCCTCCGTAAACTCTCTTGACCTTCTGCAGGCCGAAGGCATCGCAGTCGTACAAATACCCGTAGTCGCGCCGGAACTGCTCGTAGCGCACCATCTGAAACGTCCTGCGGCGTTATGGGAGCCTGGTACCGTGATATTTAAGGAGGATCATTGTGGATCACAGTGAACCACCTTTCATTATCTACTTATCTAGGCGTCTTTCGGCCGAATACTGAAACACTACTCAAATCTGTCACTCAGCTGACGGGCTCCTAAATTTAAGTATAGATGACCCACGCTGAACTGTCCCACCAAACTCAATGACAGGGGGGCGCTACCATCGTTCAACTATATGGTTTCCAACATGGCTAAAATCTGAACCAGCGATCCGGTATTGACGGTGGCGCCCCACTGTCAATGTCATCGACAGGACAGTCCAGTATTTTGGAACTATATCCTTCAATTTTAAATGGTATTCTCAAACGCCACTCAACGGATTTGAAGCCGTGATCAGCTAAGCAGCTCTCAAATGTTTACCTACTGGCAACATTTACCAAAAAAAGTATGTTTTCATTTACACAAATGATAACTTTACGTTTTTTATCCATTACACGCAGCATCGTTTGGTTATGTATTGTCTTTTATGGAAATATACTCAATCCACTTAACATAGAACAGTTTATTTTTAGTTTCTATTATATATAAATCTAGTTTTATCACATAAAAAAATTAATGCTTGCATTTTTATTTAATTAAAAAAATAATTTAAAGGTGATACTTTTTATTGTTGAAATCTATTATGTAGCGATCGTGGACCGAAACGTAACCACAATTGACATTTATCATTGTTGACAGAGCATCAAATTGACAAATCAACAACTCTTGGAAATGCTGTTATGCGATGTCCCCTTATTCCTCAGAAATAGGCATGTTTATATAAATCGATTTCATAGCAGCTATTTTGGTTGTTACTTTGTGCACTAGTACGATGCACAGTTGGCTGTTCGATGTGGAAGATATCACCTAGTACACGTTCATAACTTCCCGTTGCGTAGAACAGTAGGGTTATAATAAGTATTTTGTCCACTGGTTGTATGGCGTTTGGTGCGGGGTTTCAAAGAGCTTCCAAATTATGAATCCAGAAACAACACCGTTTCTTTAGAGACGCGGAACCTCGCTCGGAATTGCATGTCATTATAATAATATTCTTCAATAGCGTTCAGCCTTATTGCGTTCCTGCGATTAGATTTAGGTATTTCCTCGAGGCTCGAAAGAAATGATAACGATGACACACATTATTTACCACTATTTAGGTCGATTTAGGTATAAGAATAGGATTTAAGATACCGCGCAAGCACTCTCAAATTTAACAGCTGCTTAAGACGATTTGACAGTTGTTTGAGTAATGCTTAGCGTTGAATGGCGTTTCAGTATGCGAAAACTCATTTGAGTGGCGTTTGAGTGCAACTTAATTTGAGAGGTGCTTAAAAATTGAGAACTGCTTAGATATTGTTTTGAGTATGCGAAATGTAAGTTTGGGAGCTGCTTAACTATTTGAGAAGCCGTCAAATATTTAAATGGCGTTTCAGTATTCGGCCGTTTGTTAATTAATTTAAAAGTAATACAACACTCTGATTGAGTGTAAAAACTAATAAATAAATACCTTCAATTTATTTAGTATTCTGACTGCGTAGAATATTTCAGGCTTATCAACTCTGATTTTCCATTCATTATTTAGGTCATATAACTTTTGTACGATCAGTATTAATAGTACCTATGTCACAAAAGGTTCTTACGATATTACCAGTTTTTGAGCTCATTATAGGTATGAATAATTCCCTGGAATTAGTAGTTTACTCAATACGAGTAATCACGAATCAAAGACTTCTTTGATTCGCAAAATTACCGCATCGAAGCTTCCAATATTATTATGGTTATTAGTTATACTATAGGGATATACACTGTTGTTTGTGAAATTACTCACCAACTTGTGCGCGAGCGCAGGTATAAACCGCCTGCATCGCAGGAACCTGAGCAGATACGCGTCATCGATGCGCCGCGGATTGCATTCTTCTCGTTCTGCAAAAAGTAAATAATACAGGGTGATTTTTCAAACAGTGTCCAAATGTTTAGGAGCGACTCAGAATTACTAACTTAATTGATTTTCGTAAAGACATCATTTTTTTTTCATTTTTAATTATTTTTATCCGCTGCGCGCGGTCTCAAAATTGGCTCACGTGGATAATTTGTTTCGTTCATAGAAAAATACACGCACATACTGTAAACTGCAAAGCCTAATAATAGACATAATGGTGAGCGAAAATAAGCAATAACCTTTAAAACTTAAGATAATGGGCACCTGCGGATTTTTTCGAAAATTGATTTTTTTTTTCTGCGGAATATACCACGATTAAAAATATAGGTAATTAAAATAAAGTTGTAGTGTTAAATTGTTCTAGATAGCTTATTAAAAAATTTGGATACTGATTACAATGTCATCCTGTATAATTTGTGGATGTGACTTTGGTTTGATCAAGATCAAACCAAAGTCACATCCACAAATTATATCCCAAGTCAAGACTTGGGAACAAAGAATTTCAACAGCACAGTAACAATACGAAGTGACACCTTTCCATACAAATCATAGCCCTACTGTCTGGTCCTACCAGCAATGCCAATCGTGCACGCACATTTCCATTGACTACTTAGTATTGTTCGCTGCCACTGTGCAGGTTACTGATTACAATCATTATAAACCACGCCGTGGCATGCTGATTTCTTATTGTAATTTATTTTATTTTATTTTTATTTTTCTTTATTCAGAAAACCACAGCTCTTTATAATAATAATACAAACAGGTATTTTTGTTCTTACAGCCAATAATGGATTCTATATATTATTACAATCTCGTAAAAAAAACAGTCAAAGGGTAATTACTATGATTCGCTTTGTTTTGAACCTTCTCGATTATAGACCATAATTCTTTGTGGTTTTTATTTACTCACAGTTCTTGACTACTATACTTTTCAGTCCATTAGCATAAATCAGCATTGAACCATGCCCATTTTCCAATATAAATGTCTATCCGTGTTGCAGCTCTGTGTGTTATCTTTTTATCCCTATGTAATGTATTATACCTATTTAGACGAAAATTGGCATAATAATACCTAGATAAAAGGCTCAGACTCAGGGAAAAACATAGGATAGTTTTTGTCCCGGTTTTTGACAAGGACACGAAATTGGAAAAGTCTTTCTGTGACAGACCTAATTTACGTGGGTGAAGCCTTGGATAAAATTAAATAAAAATATAGGAAAATTCCAATATTCGCTTCCACCTTCTCGGCCTGATCATCAATTTCCTTCAGGTGAGATGCAAGTCTACTAGGTGGACCGACGATCTGGTAAAGGTCGCGGGAAGAGCCTGGATGCGGGCAGCGCAGGACCGTGCATTGTGGAAAACCTTGGAGGAGGCCTTTGTCCAGCTGTGGACGTCATTTGGCTGAAACGAACGAGATGCAAGCCAACAGTTTCTTCGTTGTGGATAAAAATGTATCATTTTGAATGTAGTTTAATGCACCTATTAAGGACACTGTCTAGTCTATGCATCTAGAAATATGCTTTGATGGCAAAGCCAATCTCAAGGCAGTGCATTCGAGACGTCCCGCTCACTGCAACTATGCGCGCGCGCCGGTAACTGACTTACGAAATACAAAATCTACACTTGCTATTAGCTAAAACCAGTACAAAAACATGACAATTTCCACCTTGTTACTTTGGGATAAGAACTTAAAGGCGATGGAATATTTATGCACAGCTATGCAGGTATGACGAGAGATATGCTATAATTTTAAGTATGATCACAGTTATTTCTAAGGCTGAGTTGCACCAACTATCTTTAACCGTGACTATAACGATAACCGGTGTATTTTGTATGGAGTTTGACAGATTTTTGACGTTTGTTAGAGTCAAAGTAAGATGGTATAACCCAGCCTTAAGAATAGTAAATCTTGCAGATTCTTATCTGTCTTATGTAGTTCTTAGAAACCTAGATATTTGGAACCTACGAGTAGGTATATTAATTTTACGTGTTTTCAGCTGTCATCTGTTTGCCAACTACACCATCAAATAAAAGCTTCATGAAAAGACAAAAGCAAATAAAACCACTAAGAAACATGAAAAGAAAACAAGAACGTAGGGAACGAGTTTTGACAAGGGCTTCTACGTATTATTTATTATTTTCTTACCATAAATCAAAGACCGAAGCTCCTCAATCCTCTTGCTCCTCGCGCCAGGGTCCTCATTGCAGTTCCTCCTGGCCAGCTCCTCAAAATCCTGGTCTTCGAACCGGCTCACTTCGGCCTGGAATGCGATCTCGATGAACGGCATCCTGAAGTAAATAGAGTCTAATAAACCAAAACAAAACATTTTTACATCTTAAATTAAGTATTTTATTAAAACTTAAAAAAATAAAAGATTACCTTAGATGGGAATTTAATCCCAGACAGACTGCTTTAAGCACTGAGCTTCGGAAATATTAGGTACGAGTAAAACAAACAAAACGACTTTTTCAAGTATTTAAATAACGTCTTATGTTATTATAACCTGACTTTAAGTATTAAAAACAAGAGTTACACGTTCGATTTTCCTGTTTGAATTGTATTACCTACTTATTTGGGTCAATTTTCTCGCTCGATATCTTTTAATGCTTTATCTCTAATCTGTATCCATTGGTCTCCATTAACAAATTAAAGTTATTACTTTGTACTCAAGCAAATCAAAACCATACAGTAGATTAGGAGATAAAAGTAGTATAGTGGCAGTAGTAACAACTAGTTCACCGTAAAATTGGTTTCTTACGGTTGCCCTGCTTTAAACCACCGTTCTTTTACCATCGTAAATGTTAAAAGATATAATCTTTTGTAATCCAAGGGATAGTAAAAGATTGTTTGATCATAGCTCTAGATGAGCATGCTTGTGCATTGTGCATGTCTATAGTTAATAGAAACTGGCCATCTTAAAATTAAATAAGGTCGTATAACTTCGCTTTCAATGTAGACAATGTAGACTCTACATCTATAGTGATTTGCGTAAACCTATCTTAGTAGATTACTAATATTTACTAATACACTTTATGACGGCTATTATCGTAGCCTAATTCCACGTTTTTGTAACAAACTATCAACTCACACGCCCTGTCATTACCGACATTGTTTTCCTTTAGCTTAATTTAACTGCACTCTCACGTAATTTTTCTCGATTGTCAAATCGAGAAAAATTACGTGAGAGTGCAGTTAAATTAAGCTTTAAAGTTAAATTTAGTTAAGATTCAACCAAATCATGAAAATATTTGTATGTAGACAACGCAGAACTGGTCGTTATGGAAATTCTTGGGAGAGGTCTTTGTCCAGCAGTGGACGTAATTTGGCTACAACTAACGAACGAACAAGACATGAAATAAGTTATTCTTTAGGTTGATTACTTCTGATGTCTCTATTACAAGATGCAATAGTGTGTAGATTGACGTGCTGTCGTCTGTCAGTAACTCGCAGCGTCCAAAGTTTAACGTTGACAGTTTGGAGTTAACGGTCCGGATCTCAAGATTGTTGTCATGAATAGTAATGAATGACATAGCATTGTTTTGCTACTGGTTTATGAAGCACAGACTACAACCGTATACGTAGGTATAATGTTTTGTCTTTTAGTCATAGTGACGTCAATGGCGGGTTAGTTTAATATTAGGTAGTAAGTTAGCATTATTTTGAACCTATTCTATAAGTTTTCTCAATAAAACACTGTTTATAGGGAGGTTGCTCTTTGATTATACCTATCTACCCAACACGCATTCAATAAATTTTCTTTAACAGAATTTATTCTTAAATTTCTGTCCACTGTCCAGATAATAGGCTAGGCATTATCATTAGTTAAGCTAAACATTATCTTTATTGCTAGAATGTAGATCTAATTATGAAATTGCTGTTACGAAATTTAATATCATTATAACCAAGGACATCTAATTTAAACTGTATGTAGAGTCATTAATCTTTTAGCAAAGATTTTCATCACACATTTAATTACCTACGATGCGATTATGTAACCGTGAACGTTAAATAAACTTGAATACTATCATTTATAATCCAATATGGACCAGTTTCCAGTCTGTGGAAAGGACCAAAGGTAATTGAAAAGAGAATTCAGTTTTCGCAATTTACATTTTGTAAATCAATTTTGATTCAGCAAGATTCCATTCCCGAAATCCTGTTTAAGGTCGAGTTTCATCTTCAATTATCGGCGAAAGCTGTTCCAAAGATGCCAAGTGAAAAAACATTCATCGATTTATCGGAGAAATTGCAGTACCGTTGGTTGATGCAACCTTTGTTTAAGATTCACTTGAAAACCAATTATGGTTGGTCCGAAAATTACCGACGAAGGGTTTATTTATTTATTTATTAATAGGTACAGTTACAGTACATAGAATACTACTTATTTAGTAAAAAAAAATACAGCTACAAATCACTTACAAATCTATGGACCAATTACAACTGCACACAACTATGCCTAATAACTTAAGTGCTTAGATAAAACAACAAAAACTAATGTTAGCTACAACAACAACTAATCCAACAATCTAATCAGTATTTCTTANGCGGCGCCGCCCGTCCTTCCCTATGTAAGTTAAAGGATTTGCCACAGGATAAGTTCCAACTGGACTGGTTCCAAGTTCCCTAGGTGGACCGACGATCTGGTGAAGGTCGCGGGAGGTGCCTGGATGCGAGCGGCGGAGGACCGGTCTTCGTGGAAATCCTTGGGGGAGGCCTTTGTCCAGCAGTGGACGTCTTTCGGCTGAAACGAACGACGTTCCAACTGATGCGGGCTGCAATCGCTTTGACCTGACCGCAGAACACATCCAGTGTGGCAAATCCTTCATAGTACCTAATTATTAAGGCGGTGCATAATTAAGAGTATATTGTCTCGGCTTGACACTGGTCAATGTAATGACTGATAGAAAATTTCGACTGGCATTAAGGTCGCCATTTGTGTTTTTACGTGCTAAAAAACCCCACTCGTCTGACCAGAGTGTGGGGAGTATTGGGCACAAACTCGTACATTATTCATGCTGTTTGTTTCCTTAATAAAGAAAAATAAAATTATTATCTATAGGCCAAATCCTTCATTCGCCCTTGTAGTGGAGACTAAGTACCTGCTGGATAATGATCACGATGTTGCAAGAATGTGTAGAATGTAAATAAATATGTTCTGTTGTCAACACAGTACAAACTTTGGACTATGTTGACAGCAAATTGTTGTTGACGTTTTCCGCAGGAAGAAGCTAGTTAAAAAGACAAGCACCGTAGAATTCGGATATGTCGTCATACGATGGTATAATGACATACCTACGGTAGGTAATCGGTAGGTTAAACCTACCGATTATTCAAATTGTATACTATACAATACACAAGTAGGTCTTTGCCAAAATGTTTGTAATAAGTGCCTAATTCCGTGATTGCTTGAGGAAAATTATTAAATGCATCTGCTATATTATTTTTATTTGGAATTCATAATCAGTGTGATATCATTGATTTAGCCTGCACACGTCTCTTTAATTTACTAGAGTCAGTTTCCTAATTAGATTCTTTGTTAGATTATTTCCATATTGGCTCGTTTTGTGACGTCAGGCAAAAATATACCTTGACAACGATTTACTTCGTTACTCCCGACTTCGTTATAAAATATGTAAGGGAGAGTCCGCTAATTTGGACCAGTTTTTTTCAATCCCATTTTACACATAGTTTTCTTTTGTTTTTGCTAATGTCCATGGTATATAATAAAAGATACATTATTCAACTTACTATTTCATAAGTATTAATTAACATGATTGTTGTATATTTAGAACAAATCAACAAAGTACGAGTTCAGAGCTTCGGTCCAATTTAGCCAACCGGTTCGATAATTTGTACCACAGGGTTACTAAATTGGATTTCAATAAATTTCAAGCCTATAAAAAAACTATGGCAAAATATTATACGATACATTCTTAACAAATTAGGAAACGAAAAGGAACAGTAGTTAATAACATAGACAATCGATATTGTTTTACACGTTATCACGATTTTGAGTACAAGTTTTGTAATTCCAATTATCGTAACGCACACCTGTACCTAATCTACTTTGCCAGTCTTTTGCTTTCATTTATTGTTAGTCAAACATAACTACGCTATTATAATTACAAAATATGGTTTACTAAAAAAAAATTCAAAATCCTTTGGTAAAGTTCCATACAACTTGATGTGGTACAATTTAGCCGACTAGGTGATAGTGCTTTTAAAAAATCGGTAAAAAATATAGCTTATAAATACCGAAAAATGTTTCAAATAATTGTAATCCACACTAATTTACGCTTCTAAATAATAATATTAGAAACACCCTGTGATTAAATTTAACAAAATTACAAACTAAACATGTATTCTCAAAAGTTACTTGAAAACAATGAAAAAATACTTTTCAAAATAAAACACACGTGTTAATTGTCACGGCAAAAACCACATGGCCGATATTAATTGACTTTAGTTGTGTATCGCTGAGTGTTGCAATTACAGACATTCAATAAATACTTTACGAAATATGAGGGTGGTACAATTTACCCGGCGGTACAATATACCGAACTCTCCCCTATTATCTGCCAAAGGGGTCAACAGTATTGTGTTATTTGTTTATCTTATCAAATGTATGTTAGGTTTACTGTGCGTCGCATTAAATATTATCTCTTTGTGTAGGCTACTACTGTTTATCACCAAATAAAATTGCAATAACAAATCATATAAGCCACGAAAGCTGTGTACCTACTTACTTAAGTAGGTAAATGAATATCACACAAAAATGGATTATTAAGAAATACAAAAGTTAGGCAAGGAATTTTAGGTAAGTTTTTGATTGAATATTGAAAAAATATTGAAATCGCTGAAACAATCCATTACTTTTCAAGACTAATGTTTCTATTTCTACAAAAGGTATTAGTTACCTACTTAATAATTTTATTTTATTTTAGGTACAAACCTTAATTGCTCCAAACATTCAGTCCAAACACACACCAACACTTGATACAATTTGACTCCATTAATTTGAAATCGATATCAATTCATCACTATTATACTAATCTTGATTTATTGTCACTTTTTTTACATCCATTATTTTTATATTTACATAAGCTACATTATTGATAGTGTTTGTAATATTAGGTCTAAGGTAAATAAGAGCTATTTTGTTTATAAATAAAGTGAATTTTAACGTGCGTGCGCGCAGCGTGGACAGCGCAATGACAGTGGGAGCCAAGATAACCGCAGCGAAGTAGATTTTATTTTTAATACGGTGCAGTAACTTTTTTGTTGTTTTTGTTGAACGCGTAACCGTTCGCTTTTCCCAAATTTTCTATCGTTTTTTGTTTATTGGCAAGTATTTTGTTCGGATAGAGAGTGATGTAAGATAATATCGTTGAGTTAAGAAAGTTGAAGAGGTCAATGAAAAGAAGTGATACATGATGCTTTTTTTTTCATAGATTGAACATTTACGAGTAGTTCACTTTTAATCAAAGTGAAAAATCTGTCTCAGAGCTAATTTAACTGGAACCCACAGATATGAACTTATGATTAAGTGAATGAACAATTTGCCTCTCTGCATGATGAACCGATGACCTCAAATACACAGTAGACTGTGTCTGATTCTATGTAAGCTGAGGGCTGGAGAGCTTACCTTGTCGAGCAGTGGACTATAATTTCCTGATCTAATGATTGATCATCAACATTGTTTGGATAGTAAGTAACACTTGAGGTAACAATCATTGGTCATTTGTGAGACTTGATGAGCCGTCTGTCGTGGATCAATTAGACTGTAAAGATTTATTTGGTCCAAAAGACACTCATATTTTTATTTTACACTAGCAGTGCCCGCGACTTCGTACGCGTGAAAATAATTTTTGCTCTACACCTATTACTCGTAGCGTGATGGTATATATATAGCGTATATATATAGCGGATTACCGGTAGCGCCGCTAGAGGGCGCTGCGTAGTAAATCGGGCTCCGTAACAATGTTTATGTAAAAATAGTAAATAGTGATAAATTCTCCTCAAAACGTTTTAAAAAGTACTATTAAGTGACAATTAGTGACTGACAGTGTTGGTGAGAAACTATAATCAGTAATTAGTGAAAAACTTAACATTAAAACTGTGACATTAATCTATAAAAACTGTTGTAAATATTGAAAACTTTTAATAATTAAGTGCAAAACCTTTAAAGTGACGTTAAAAACTACAAAACTACCATAGAAGAATAGTGTACAGTGCATAATCTTCAAACTAGAAAAACAATTTCTTATGTAAACATTATGGACTTTGAACTTAACAAATTTACCCACTCCTATCGTGAATAAAATTTAAAACAACGCCATCTATTGAGGAGTAGCCGACTTTTTGTGGTAGCGCCACCTATTGTTGAATAGCTATACCACCTACTACGTGCAAAATTCAGCTGTTGATGGTCGATACTTCATAACGACATCTAGCGAGAAATGACTGACTTCTAGTGTGACGCAGTCAATTACTGGGGAGTTGTACTGTGTACTATCACGCCATCTGTTGAGGAGTAGCCGACTTTTCATAGTGGTGCCATGATATAACTTGCTAGTAAACAAACACTGAGTCAACACGCTACCCAAAAGCGACATCTATAAAGCAGTGGATAAATTATTATCAATGAACAAGCGCAACATCTAAGCAGGACAAATCAAATACGTATTTTCGTCACTAGTAAACAAGTCAAATTGGCGCAGTGGTTTCGACCGCGCTTGACCATCGAGGACCCGGAGTTCGAAACTCATCGGCGACGATTATTTATATTTTTCTGGTTGAAATATTGAGCAGAAAATTTCATATAATAACAATGTCTACTAGTAAAAAATCTCCAATGAATACAAAGAAGTCGAACTGCAAAGCAACTACGTCGGCTGTTTGCCACAAATGTGGCACTAGATGTACTATAAAAGACACTATACCATGCAATAAGTGTAAAAATAGATACGAGTTCGATTGCATTGGACTCTCGGAGAAATTGTACAATATTATGAGCACTGAGAACAGACGGAATTGGAAATGTCCCCCCTGTTCTCTTAAGAAAAAATGTGAAGCTTCATCAAAAACAAACATAGATAAAAAGGAGCAAAACAATGTAACTCATAGGAAAAAACAAAAATTAAAAAACGTAACTACACAACTAAACAAAATGGAATCACCGCTAAGCACATTGAGTCTTTCGCCTTCCACTTCGATATCCGAAGAAAATCATGACTCTCATTTTACCACGCAGGAGGAGATCTTGGATGACTCATATTCCATTGTAGATAGATTGTCAAGAAGCGTAGAGCACACGCAGTTGAATAACACTGTAATAGATTACGAACTGAAGGAAGAAATTAAGCTTTTAAAAATAAACCTTCTTTCTACTGAAACCGAGTTGGAAAATAAGATTTTGGAGAATAATGACCTCAATAAATGTATAGCACAGCAAAATAAAGAATTGACCCTGTTGAGAAATCTTTGCAAACTCCCGCACACAACAGTTCAGGAAGATAGGCGTCAATCGCTACAACCTTCGCTCTTTTTTACACCACCGAGAGCTCCGGTATCAGAGGGAAAGAAACACTCGCCAAATTTTAAATACCTTCAAACAAAAATTACTGACCTAAAACAGTCTTTACTACGTGCTCAAATGGAGATAAATGATCTTAATGAGCAAATTCAAATCTTGAAGGCAAAACTACAAACAAATGTGAAAGACTTCAACAATATTCAGTCTGGGAAGACTGAAATGCTTGAACAACGGGACAATAACTCACCACTCACCTCTCGGGAAATAACCACACAAAATGGAAAAAAGAAATCCTCTACAAAGCAGAAAATAATCATATTGGGGACGCAACAATGTACTGGTCTTGCAGCCGAACTGACAAAATCCAGAATTGGGACCGAATACGAGGAGTACACGATATCATCGTTTATTAAACCATTTGCTACAACCGAGGAAGTTCTTAAACTATGTACAAGCTTAGAGGTAGATAGGTATGATAAGGTGATCTTATGTGTAGGAGAAAATGATGATGATCCAGTATCAACCATAGGGGAACTATATATTGTATTAAAATTGCTACAACACACCACTGTGATTGTATTGAATGTAAACAGTAGTAAGCATGTAAATACTAAATGTATAAACAGCCAGTTAAAATTAATATGTAATAAATTTAAACACAGCCACTTTCTTGAGTCTAAAAACCATTATAAAAGTTATTTAAGAAACGCCTGCTATAGTATTAACTTGCTTATAGATTCTCTGTATTATGACCGAACATTTCTATGCTTTGAGTTTATTAGGAACCATACTCAACGTCTTGGCTATTGTGGCGGGAAACTGTTAAACGGATCACAGCGTCTGTCAAGAAGTCCCAAATCTAATTATAGGCAAACTTCTATTCTTGACTTTTTTCGCTTCACACAACAAGGGGATTTTTTTCGTTCCAAGTAATATAAACCAAACGTCATCACATCTTCGCGATAGTGAAATAAAAGAGAGACCATTTAGGGTTTTACATCAAAACATAGCTGGATTGCTCTCAAAAAGGGACTTGATAGAGCTAACTATATCTGAGCTGATAGACTCCGACACGGAACCGGATGTGATATGTTTTTCAGAAACATTTCTAACGGAAAATGACAGGAAAAATGCTTCTTTTTCTAATTACAAACTTGCAGCAAACTACTCGAGGAATAACAAACGAGGCGGCACATGTATATTTATACAAAGAGGCTTAGTATCTCACGAAATAAAGACTTCTATCAAATATTTACTACCAGGAACATTTGAGTGTTGTGGCGTAAGTATTCCTGAGTACAAATTTATAATATTGTGTGTCTACACCTCACATAAAAAGTTTGCGCACTCATTTTTGACAAGATTAGAAGCAGTTATCCATGACGTATTAAAAAAAAAACCTAACTTTAAAGTTATAATAGCTGGAGATTTTAACATAAATACACTAGCGGAATCCAAAGAATCGAAACATTTGATTGACTTGGCTAAATATTTTAATTTAAAAATTCATATAGATGAACCCACGAGGGGTAATAACTGCATTGATCATATTTTAAGTAACGTCAATCAGGCCTTAGGTACAACAATCCCTCTCCATCTATCTGATCACAATACTGCCCAAATATTAACATTTCCGGTAAAACGTACCAAAAAAATACAATACTGGTTCTCACATCGGAGAAATTATTGCAATGAAAATATTCTTAAATTTNTTGTGTGCTCAAGTGTTTGTTTACATTTGAGGAAATTTCTAAAGAATTTAGGTATAGGTAGACCCACGAAGACGCGCCCCATCAATTTTTGGTCAAGGGAAGCGTGGGGTGCAGGGAGTTTGATCCGAGCAATCCGAGCGTCATTATTGTAGTGTGCGTGTGCACTCATTGATAATAAATTTAGCGTGAATTATTTTAGTGGAAGAATGGTAGGGCGCGTCTTCGTGGATGGAACGATCTATACTGAGCTAACAACCACTAGCAACATAGTGCCATAGTGAATACTGCTAGGCTCTTTATTCCTTGATCTTCAGAAACTTCAACACACACGCATAAATTAATCTCGTTTAGCCACTTCACGGTAACTAATATAGGTTTAATAAGCCCTAGAAATAACCACTTCCCTTTAGTCCGGTTATTTTCTAGAAACATTGACATTAGAAATCTTCCGGTCACGAAGTCGACGTTCACGCTAAATTAAGATTTTGTGTCACTGTCACTTCATATCTTGTAATTTTAATTATCTTGTTGAGCGGTGCACTCTAATTGCATCCTCGTTTTTATTGCGAAAAGTGAGAAGTTTAAGTTTTAAGTGTTGGTCGTTAAAGCGATTACTGACGTCTAAGAGATGTCATTTCGGATTACGATCTTGTACAGTATAGAAACGTTGTTTATGTGAATTTATGAAGTCCATAATCTACGATGTTACACTTTTTAGGGACCAGGTCGGTCCTATTGTCATTGATATTGGTAAATCTTAACGTAAATTCCATCAAGCAAGTCCTAGGTACGCGTTGTCCACTCGGGATCACGTTTACTTCATCTTTCGTCGGTGCTCTGACATGAACGGCTCACTGCTACTTCAGCTTGATAAGTTTTTGAACCATCTCCATAATTTTGATCTTAATTTAACTTTTAAACTACGAGTGGTCTCCTACGAATTACATAGTCGA